CAAAGAACACTTTCAATCCACGTAAATTACCAAATAAATTTCAAAATATGCAAGAAGAGGGTAGTTGGGAATTCGGATACAGCACGGATGTTAGGCCCCGTTTACACTGTCATGGTAATAGCCACGGTATCGCTACGGTGTCTTAAACCGGTGAACCGGGATGTTTCGTGGTATTTTTTCTGAAAACTCAAATTGCGTCTACACATTCCTGACATAGTCCAGGTGTATTCACGGTTCACTACCCCATACAGCACTGGATATGTACTGTAAGTGCCGATGATAACCTAATCACGACCATTACCGATTTCGCCAAGGTTAAGCTACGGGTGATGCGTAACGCTTTATATTTCAATAATAATTATACCAATTCATCTTGTGACAAACGAAAACGATAACAAACATTGCATTTTACTTATAATGTTACAAAATACATCGGCATAACGACCACTAAGCTGTTATATGCATATCTATGCTAATAAGCGAGTGAGACCGTGAGATAATAATACATCCGGCATGCTTGTAGTGCGTTGTAGCCAAATCTACGTACAATTGAAAAAAACGCACCTTTCTTGGCCCTTTCCGTCAGTCTTTAGATGAGAAATATAAATAATAGCCGAGGATGTTCCGATTGTTGAAAAACAATATGTTTTTTTATTTTTTTCCGGTATAGCTTGTTACCTTACGTCATGACTGTTATGGGTCGCGGTAAAAAATTCCGTATCAAAGTATGCAAATCACAAACAGACGAGCAATTTCCAGCGACAAAATATACTTTCTCCGAAACAAGAAAAAATACAAATATTTAAACACATCAATAAAGTATGGTATTTTAACCATGCTGTTTTGGAAAAAAACAAAACCATTTTCGCCTGTTCTTTTGTTTTTTGCCTTATATTTTCAAGATACGCCTAATTTCGTAGTTACTATACATTTTGTCATTGTGAACAGAACGCTGAAACTTCTGGTAATTTACGTATTTATTCAAGGGAGGTAATCCAACCAAACCTTGATGAAATTGCTTGTTTGAATTGTCCCCCTTAATATTTAACATTATTGTTATGCAGTGACTGAGCGGTTGAGATTTCGACCACCCTGGCAGTCCTAAGTTGATTAATGCCTATCTACAGTGGCGATTATGATATTTCCTGCTATTCTTTTATTGATAACAATGATAAACATTGATTGGTAAATTCGCTCACCCGCTATTTTTTCATTTATTTACCGTCTTGTCCCAGCTTCAAAACGTCCATTTCTTCATCAAAATACCATTAATGGCTTAACAGTTAATATATAACAGTATATGTAATTTATTTCCACCTTTGTTAGAATAATTGTTCTTTGTTAAATAGTTTTAGAAATGTATGATTGACTAGTACGAAACAAAATGCGTTATGCATTACTATTTTTCCATGACATAAAAAGACGGTAACAATTGAATGTCACAAACTATAAATAAAAAAGTGTATCCCAGGAAAAGTTATATCAAAAGACCCGAAAAGACAAAGCATACCCAGTTTCTGTTTTTGTTGTTGTCGTTGCTGATGTTGTTGTTGTTGAATACTGTAATGTCTCAACAAATCGTGGTTTGTTTTTTGGGAGGGGTGGGGTTGTTGGTTTGTTTTTGTTTTTTTGTTGTTGTTTTTTTTTGCTGCTTTTTGATGGGGGTATTATTTTGAATGCACATTATTTTATTCCTTGTCAAGTCTAAGTCATATTAAACTATATACATTAAAGTGCTGTGCATTTATCACATTCGACATGACCTATTTCCAGGCGTTTGTTTACATGTAAGTATGCTTATATGTAAGAATATTAATAAAATATTAACATCAGCACATTTTATTGCCAAGAGATTATAATAACATGTTTATATTAATAAGCCACGAGCATCAAAAGTGAATATTTCCGATATATAGAACCGTCAATCATTTACATCAACACAGAAACAAAACTGTCAAACCTGTCAAATGTTATGTAGATTTCCCCCTAAAATATTTTTTCCAGATAAATGTACCACTTGATGTAGGTTTAGACCACTAATCTTTGTGCAACGTCTCAGATCATTCGCGCACTTCGTTTTTCCAGAATAATTATTCAAATTGTAAAAACATGACCCATAATGAAAAGCGTTTAAACGCTTTTCACTCAAATCGGACAAAGAAAAGGAAAAAAAAATATACGATTTTCAATTCATTTCAAAGAATATTTCTTAACTCTCTTTGCATATATTTCTGTTTAAAGTGTCACTGCTCATTTACTTGGTCATATACATGTATCCCATGTTTTTTTGTATCATATATGATGCACTGTGAGAAATAAAGAATTTGACATTAAAGAATTTGAAATATAGCAGCAACCTCAAATTCTCACCCTTTTCCGTCAAACTTCGGATAGCCGATTTTAGGTTATTGGTGAGGAGTTCCGAATGCATGATAACGCGCTCATGTGAAATAGAAGTGCTTTGAAATATAGTTCTAATAAATTTGTGGCGCCACAAACTAATTTTCGCAATATGCCATTTCCTATCCGAGACTTTATTTACTCAGAACTTCCGTAACATGCTTACCTTGAAATCGATTATAAACAAACCTAAAATTAACGAGTATTACTGCCTGAACGCATTATAAAAGGCAAAGGCCTCATGGAAACTATTTCATATCTAAGAAAAGTAGTTTATACAACAATCGCCAGAAAACTTTAAATATTTATATTCTTTCATAAAAGAGGATTTAAATATTTATGATCGTACACTTTATTTTATTTTGAAGATAACTGAACAGAACTGGAAAGAAGGTTTATTTTGTCGTATGAATGGTACAGCATATAGACATGTACAAACAAAATGTACTTACAATGCATGGCAATAATTTTCCTAAATAAATTATACATGTTATCATATTGATGATAGTGTTGTAATTTTGTCTTTGTAAATATGTTATTAACTAGTATAATACGATATTATGAAGTTATCCTTTGTTCTCTGTTTTCGTAAGTTCAACAAACATCATCATACTAGGTCAAATGGTGCCTTTACGGCATTGTAACATTTCCTTTTATAGTTTCATTTAAAAGAAATTGACGTACATATGTCGGGTTTGAGAAAAGACAAGAGAAAAATAATTTTAAAGAATCTCTTTAAATATTTTCCATATACTATATTTACACTTATATTATTATTATATTTACACTTAACAAAACAAGCTCCGGTGAGAAATATTCACTTTATCATCAAACAGTTAGAGGAAAAAATACATCAAAATTCGTGTTCTTTTCTGAATTCCATCTTTCTAAGTACCAGTGCTGTACAATAAATACGTATGATTTACAACGAATATTTGTTTACATAGTAAACAAATACATAAGTAAAAATCTCGCTTTGAAATAGTAAACGAATACATAATGTAGATAAAAATCCAAAAAATGCGGAAACATGATTGTCCTTTTTTTTTTAATCTGCAACAACAACAACAACCCATTCACCCCTTACACCTACAAAAATGTTATGTTTATTTTTACAAGCAATAAAGTGCTCCAAAAATATTCCGGAGAAAAAGAAAAAATGATAAATAGATAAATAAATCACTCTATCACTGTTTTATGTTAAGAGAAAGAAAGGAAAAAAAAAATAGAAAAAAAAAGAAGAAAAAAAATCAGTTTTGTAACAAAAACTTTGCTAATTCTGTCAGCGTTCTGTGTCTGGAAACATTTTTTTCTTTCAAAAATTGTTCTCTAAATTGAATAGATTACAATGTTTAAACGAAAGACAATTCTTCATATTAGTGCAGTAATAGGTTATCTCCTGTGACATTATGTAAGGTATTAACACGTTACTGCACCAAGATGGCGGTTTAAAACTATCAGATACTATTACAGATTATATGGTCGTTATCGCAATAGCTTGAACACAGACAGCGCTTTTCATTTTAATTGCAGATTATTATCTGTATTCTCTATTAGATATTTCGTATTAAACTGATAAAATATATAATAAAATAGACGATATATATACGCTTAAATTGTCAAATAAATAAATAAATAAATAAATAAATAAATAAATAAACAAACAAACAAACAAACAAACAAACAAACAAACTAATTAATTAATTAATTAATTATTTTTTTAATTAATTAAATAATTAATTTATTAATTTATTAATTAGATCTAATTTATTGATTAAATATATAATACAAAATAAAAAAATGCATAAATAAAAGTTGATAAATGAATAAATAAAGATAAATAAATAATAAAAAGTAAATATAAAAAAAGAATTAAATACAACGTTTTTTCTTTCCTTTTTTTAAGACAGTTAGATTCGCAATAAATAGTATGATCTCATACAGGTTATCTACAAAATTGTAGCACATTCAATCTGCAACATTACCTATAGCTCTATCCAAGATAACTGAATCTGCAGTTATCTACAGCTCTACCCACTGACGTATATATGCGTTAAGATCTGCAGGTATGCCACGGGACAAATAGCTTTTATCGTTAATAATTTGAACAACAACCTTCAAATACAGAGTGTTGTTATTATGATCAATTATTTTACCAACACCACGGCATACATGTTATATTGCAGCATTTCTTAAGCAAGATGAAAATATAATTATATTATCATATAATTATTTCACATAAAACATTTCCTCTTCACATACGAGCAGCGTCACGACAAAACCAACATAATCCGTTTGTGACAAGCATTGATCCAGACCAGCCTTCGCATCAGGATCCATGCTGTTCGCTTACAAACCCTATAGCAAGTAGAGAAACTGATAGCGAACATCATGGATCCTGATCAGTCTGCGCGGATGCGCAGGCTGGTCTGGATTCATGCTGGTCGCAATCGCATTATGTTGATTTTGTTATGACTCGGCTCATATAGTGTTTTAACATATAGCTTTAAGGAAGTGTGGCCTGCACGGCTATACAGTGTGTCCTGGCTAGCCGTACGCGACTCACGTACGGCTAAAACTTTTGGCAAGCCGTACGGGCACTAACTTTTATTAGTTTTATATATTATTAAATTGTGTGGTTGACTTGCACTGCTTACACGACCGGCGAGCAAGCATTTCCTTCACTGCATTTTTGAAACGAGGGTCGCATACGCCGTATATTATAGGATTTATTGCACAGTTCAAGAAGTATGACCGGAGGAAGAATTTGTACACAGCTTTGTTCCTATCCGATAAGCCCTCAACAAATCCTTTCTTCGTCAGCCGTATCGAAACCAAGGCGAGGTGAGGGAAAAAGCTTAAGATGAATGCAATTGTCAGAAGAAACATGAGAAAAGACGTTTTTCTTGCTCGTAACATATTGGCTGCAGCCTTCAAATGAGGACATCCGCTCTCTTTCGGTTGAAGATCACTCCTTCCAAGCGTTTTGTTTATCTTTGCCGCTTGTTTGCGAAGTTTTTGTCCAATCATGCAGTAAAGAATCGTCATTGTTACCGTAGCTGTCACAAATAGCACACCGAACGTAAGGAAATATAGAAACGGAAGTGACGCCTCCTTAGCTCCATTAATCACCGAGCATTCACTTCCGGTAAGATTGACCTCCGGTATATGGAACGTGTGTTTGCCGTATACAAATATTGCGGGTAAGGCGACAATAATACCAAGTACTATTGATGAAATACACAGTCCAATTGTCACGGTGGTTTTTATTTGCCATTCGAGAGGTTTACAAACTTTCCGGAAACGTTCAAAAGCAATAAATACCAGAAGGAATGCCGACGAATTAGTACTGAATGTGTTGAAAAACCTTGCCAATTGACAACGCCATCCACTTTCATACGTATACTGCTGAAGAATTGTTGATATTTCAAAAGGAATTGCTACGGTGCACGAAAAGAAGTCTAATGCGCTCAAACATAGCAGAAAGCACTGGATGTTCGAATAAGTGAATTTCGTCTTATATACGTAAAGAGCTAAACTATTTCCAGCCAGCCCAGTTACTGATATAAATATCAGAAAGACCACGGTGGGTATGAGGGTTTTGACCTCAGCGTCATTTAACTCTTGTAACGTAAAATAGTGTTCACTATATTTGGACATACTTTTGTCATCCATGATATATACTAACGAGTAAAAAAGAAATTGAATATCCAAACAGTCATACACCCACCATTTATAGTATTGTTTAAGTACTCATATTGTTGAATATATCATTAATAAATGATATTTTATTAACTATAGATTCCTTATCAAATCAAGATGAGCCGGTTTGGACTACAAAACTAATGAACATGTATTTACAAATTTATTTTTCATGTGTTATATCATTATGTGATATCAATCACTGGATAAATAAGCAGTTTAATTCAATTAACAAACACTCCATTTCATTTTCAAACTTCGACTGAATGTTACATTTCATTCATATCTGTGTTTTCTAAGCAAACATAGTTACTATATGTTATTAATTTTCTATATCTCTTTTTCTACTTTCATTAAGATCAATACATTAATTTGTATCACCTATTATAAAAGAAATCCATCACTGTCCATTTTCATCCTTAAATCTTTTTTCATAATTCCAATTTCTAGAGATAAATGAAATTAAGCCAACAAGAATCGCACAAGTTTTAAACATTCTTTGAACTGAAAAAAACACCTTTAGCTTTTCCTATGATCCAATCACGTTTATTTTTTCTCGAAGTAGATCAGCGATAACTGGATCTTCAATCAAAGTAATAAATGATGTATTCATACACGGAGAGAATCAAGCGCCGGCAATTTGTTCTTAGGTCTCTATAAGAGATTTTGCCGTGCGCGGAGAATAACTACGGAAGCCATATAAACGCCTTCTCTCTGTGATTGATTGTTTTCTTTTTTAGATGGTTGTTCCATAAGGATAGAACAGTGTGTTTCATAAATAGAGAAAATTACCTTGACATATAAAAGTAAATGTTTTGTTTTATATATAAATGTTGGATAAATTGCTGTATATGGAAAATTGAGTGAAAACACTCACGATGCATAGAATCTTTTGATTTCTTTAAGATTATGGCACTATCACCGACAGTACAGGTATTTTATTTCTATGTCGGTTGTAGGTCTAACGGTATCTTGGGAGTTGCGGACCTATGTATTCTCTTATTACAGCTCTCAAAATGACGCCACACAATTCTTCCACAGTTTTATGAATGCCTAACTATATAAGAAATAATACAAATTGATTGAAAATGCGATGTTGGGCACATTAACACTTCTACTTAAGGACCGATATGAAATTCTTCACGACAATATAAATAGAAAACTCAACCATAAAAAAACCCGGTCATTCCGAGAAAGGTCGTCCACGTTGAGATTCAGACATTTTGATTTGCTGTTTAACTCGGCCATTTTGAAGCAAATGCTACGAATAGAAAAAGTCGACGCCATTTTAAACAGGATGGTTCAGAATGGTTTTCTTTTAAACGATACCCCCCCCCCCACACACACACCTTAAAGAAATTTGATGCTCTTTTAAAAAAAGATGATGTTGATGTTTGTTGTTTTACATTTCATGAAAACTGTTGTATAATGTTCTAATAATGATAAGATTTCAGCCCAATTACATGGACCTTATTAAAAATTATATACATAAAACTAGAGAAAGTTATTTTTCAAGGATAGTTGCCATACCATGCAGGGTTCAAGGTCAGTTCTCAGTTTCAAAGTGCGAGTCTTGCAACTGAACGGCAACTTTGTAAAATAAAGTGATGTCCCATTAACGCTTCTGTACAGCATTACGCCTCTATAGAATCAAGTTAATATAATAAATTATGTAAATTGTTCTAATTAGTATTAAATGTATCCATTATTAAAGCGAGCATGCGGCACTTAATATCATATTCGATACATCATCTCGGAAAAAGTACTCATGGGATATAGTTCTAATACGTGACCAATTTTCCATATCTACTTTAAAGTTTTATTTTAGATTTTCACTGATTTATTAAAAGTGAAGCCGGAGCGCAGCTGTTAATTTAGTAACGGCACTTAAAAACCAATGCATATTTCAAACCGATCCAATTTTCAAACTGTATTATGCTGTATTTTTGTCTCGCGAATAACCGCACAATGAATAGTAAAATGATACAGAAATAACATTACATTAAAGTGTATTAATTATGTATTTAATAAATGTACTTGGCACGTGTTGCTAAAATAAAAAGTGCTGTTGAAGTTTATTTTATTGCATAAAATAAATGTCAAATATTATACAAATTGTATACTGAATAGTAGTTTATTTCTATGGAATCATGGTTTTTGAATGTTTCTCACTGAATACATTAAGATATAGCGTATAATTGTATTTCAAAACACAGCTTGTTTCTAGCACTGGAATTCCTACAAGGTTTTTATCCCTCGTGGAAATGTTGTAATTAAATTTTACGGTTGAAAAAAGAGTGCTTTTTTATGATTTATTAAAAATGTAAATTATTTTCAATGTTTGTAGTTAGTTTTTATTTTAATTTCTCTACTGAACTGTAAGATCACTAGTCAAGGCTATATGTCCTTTACCAAGACATTGTATATCAGACTGAATTCATACAATGTACAAAGAATTAAACAGACGAGAAGAGTCATGAATTAACTTTAATTAGAAATAATCAGATATCTACCGTTCCACTGTTGTTGTGTCACGGTTTATTTGCACCAAAAACTTTACAAAAATACACGAGTATCTACTCTCAAGATTATCTTTTATGCACATAATTCTTTACAAATCATTCAAAAACGAGGGTCTACAGCTTCCAATAGCAATGAATCAGATATGATTCAAACTTGCGATAGGTTAAGGGCTCAACGATAATTGTTTTTAAAGTAATGTATTTACCCAATGTTTTGCCGTTATATGTCACAACGACGCCAAATGTCGAACTTGCTGCTAAATGTCGCGATATTGCCGCTAAATATCGCCAACCGCCGCCAAATATCATGAGGTTAAAGGTCACAACATTTAAATTCATGTTCTTTCTGAGTACTGGGCTTTCTATCAGACAAAAACGAATTTTCTGTTATGTACGAACAAAAAACTTGTTTAAAATTGAAGTTATCTAGTTCAGTATTTTTAAAAAAATGACGATCATAATTTAATGCCAAAAAGCCCCATTGGTGATAAAACGCATATGTTTACTTTTTTTTTTCATTTAGCAACCCAGATGATTCGTCGGATTCGAGCTACGTCATTAGGCCAAATATAATCTACTCGTCCCGGCTCTTTAAATAGAGGACAAAATCGGGATCCTAAAAAAGACCAATAGCAATTTGAAATGTTACGGCTCGGTTTGATTGGCCTGTTACGAGCGGGGAACCTTGAGGGGACATGAATAATCCTAATTCCCTGGCTCGGATTTGAACTTTAAAGTCGAAGGCCACATTTAAAATGCTCACTCTTCGATCAAGATTTGACAGAATCTGACAATAATTTAAAAGAAATTAACATCGTAGCTTGCAAAAAATGCCCCAAGGCTAAACATCCGCTATAGTGTGAAAATATATCCAATATGTAAGCATTTTAAAACGTTTTGAAACGTTTCATGTTTCCCAAAAAATGAAATGATTCTATTTTATACAGGAGAATGAAAAAGAAGAAAAAGCTGTAGAACTCAAAACTTTTCCAAAAAAAAATAAATATGATCGTTTTTTAAAAAATGTTCATAGCGAACTTAAAAAGACCAAAAACCCGACTAACCGCTTGGTTTTGCATTACCTATTGTTGTTATAAACCAATTTCAAGACTAAATCAATGAAAAAAGCCTCCTTATCGAAAAGAATAAGAAAATGGCACAATTTCAGTCTGCCCTTTACTAAAAGGGTGGACAACTATTTGTCCCTTTCTCGTAAGAGAAGGGGACGCCTGTGATGCGTGTATGTGGTCACACGGTCACTTTCCTTACAATATGTCCTCGATGCATGTATGTGGTCGCATGGTCGAAAATCTCTTTTGAAAACATTTAAGTATTTTTTGTCTGGCCTAAATAGGATTTGATATCTCAAGGACATTTTTTAATTTTAAATTAGGAGTTCCAAAAGTTTAAGTAGGAACTTGATACCTCTGGCTAGGAGTCTTAACAACTAGTTACGAACTTTTTAACATTGAATTACAACCTTTTACACTTTTAGGTAGTAGTTTTAAAAACATATTAATGAGTATACATATTAAGCCAAATTAGGACTATGATACTTCTGAATAAGACATATGAAAAACCTGATTAAAAATTGTAACTTCCAGTTACAATTAATTATGAATTTTATCTTCATAATTAGGAGAAATAAACCTAATTTGAATTTAATAACTTATTATGAGATATTTAAGCTATTATTAGGAGTTGTTAAATATTTAATTTTATATAGGAGCTCCAAAAATCTAAATATATAATAAAGACGTCATTTTAACTTTGTAACCTCTTGTTATGATTTATTAAAACAAAGAACATATAAGAATTGTATTCCTTCTAATAAGTTTTTAAAACATGGAAAGTTTGAATTAGTTTGTTTATATTTTGCTACCTTTGCGACACAGTACAATAATCATGTTCAACCCTACAATTTTCAGTTATTTAACACGTTTAGCCCTACATTTTTCAGTTATTTAACACGTTCAGCCTTACATTTTTCAGTTATTTCACACGTTCAGCCCTACTTTTTTCAGTTATTTAACAATTTCAGCTCTACTTTTTTTAGTTTATTTAAAACGTTTAGTCCCACTTTTTTCGTTATTTGTTTTTAAAATTCAGCCCTCTTTTTTGTTTTTAAAAACCCTTCACCTTACTTTTTGTTTTTCCCCTTTAGCCTTCTTTCTCACATTAAATCTTTTTTAAAAAATTTTTCTTTTACAAATAATTTGACATTTCTAAGTATTTGAAAAATATACATTTTTGAGGGATTTTGGCCTTTAAAGTC